GGTCTATACTAGTCTCCCTTTATTTATTTATCAGCTCAAATACAACATAAATGTAACAAAGGCAACAACAACAAAAATGGCTTTCTGTCTGGATGGTCTCTTGTGATGAGCCGATAGACAGAGAAAGGAAGCAGTATCCTCCCATTTTTGGGCATACCAGGGGTTGTGACACTAAATGCATATATGTATGCATGCATATATGTATGCATGCAGGTATGTATGTATGTATATCACACATGTAAATAAAACATGCACATTATGCACATTCATCTATGACATTTAGAAATACCTATTGATTATAGTAACAGATTGGAATTAGCATCCTTATCCATCCTGCCATTCTTCCAAAATATACATAGTGTAATATCAGATGGATGATTTATGTTCTGCACCCAGTATGAATTCCCTTCTCTAGAAAAATGATGCTGAAGGTACAACATAGCTGTCCAATATGGGTGCAATGTGATATGTGATGTGGCAAAACATAGATTGTGCTCTAGCTTCTTTTGTAACTGAAGTATCTTGCAATAAGAATGATTAAGAAGAAAACAGCATAAAGACATTGAAAGTGGAACTGATATGAACCTTCTGAGATCTACATAGTAATTTAGGGTGGAGCTAAATGTGATATCATATGAATGACCTTCAATAAACATTGAGGCTATGTCTGATGCTATCTCTGATACAAAACTTTAAATAAGGGTTTGTTTTGTATTGGACAGGTCGAGTTCAAGTTGGATGTCGGGAACTGAGATCAACAAAATACATTTCAGATGGTCAATGTACTAGCATAAACCCTTTGAAAGAGTTAGTATGTGCTGGGGAATGCCTTCCTTTGCCAGTGCTACCTAACTGGATTGGGGGAGGTTATGGATCCAAGTACTGGAGCAGAAGAAGTTCACAGGAATGGAGATGTGTCAATGACAAAACTCGCACCCAGAGGATTCAGCTGCAGTGTCAAGATGGAAGCACAAGAACCTACAAAGTAACTGTGGTTACAGCTTGTAAGTGTAAACGTTACACAAGACAACACAATGAATCAAGTCATAACTTTGAAGGAGCAACGCAAGCTAAGCCAAATCAACAACATAAAGAAAGAAAAAAGAACAGTAAAACCACGAAGCAGTCTCCAAGTTAAGAACTTAATGTATGTGGAGTGTGCATGTATGTGTAGGGGTGCGCAAACATGTACACCCACACAAAAATACACCCACACACAATTTATTAATGACTCTCTATTTTACAGATGTCACTACCTAACAAAACCCATCTTATGTTGTGGTTGCTTCTTCAATGGGTATATATACATTTGTGGCTTTGACCAAACTCAGAAGGGCATTCTTTTCTGAACAATTTTTAGAGGTGACTCTTCTTATTTTAAAACTGGTCTATAAGCCTACAGTTTATTATTTTATATATGCATATCTAAATAAAGAAAATGAATATTTTGCCATGGGAAGTCAAACATTTTATACTGCAGACAGCAACTACTCTGAAATTTTCAAAGGCACTTTCCATATCACATATTTTATTGGCAGCAAAGACAACTTATTTAAAATAAATGTTTTAATTAGATTCATTAGAGTGAAATTAAAACATTTATTTTAAACAAAATGTCAATTGGCTGGAATTATTTCCCCTCATAATATGGTATAATGATATGAACAAATTGCTCAACAAAAAGGAAAAATATAAAGTAGGAAAAAATGAAATTTGAATGAAACCTATTTATTTGACAGTGTAATTATTTAATGAATTTTTATGTGCTTTCTATTTTTTAAGATGGCTGTCTGATATATTTTCCATTCTTTCAAGCATCAAAATATTTTCTTATGATTTGTTATCAAATTAGAATATATATTTGTAGATAATGTAGATATTTTAACCTTTATACTTTTTCTTTGAAATAAACACAGTTCAAGTAAGACATTTTAAAATGTTTTGTAAATACTTTGTAAAATACATTTTTTGCTTGTCAATTTCAACCTTTTTAATTAAAAATTCCAATAACAATGCCTTTCATTTTGTCTGATGTAATAAAATAAGTGGTATGATAGTATGGTATGTACTATAGCATGATGTCGAACCTATGGCACACATGCCCGAGGTGGCACACAGTGCCCTCCCTGAGGGCATGCGAGCCATCGCCCCAGTTCAGCTCCGCTACACATGTGCATGTACCTCCCACCAGCCAGCTGTCCTTTGTGCTGCACACGTGCTGGGGCGTGATACGTGGAGGGGATGCACATGTACAGAGATCTGTGCACGCATGGGGCCGCACATGCACACAGGGCAGGGGTGGTATGTGAGAGGAGCCATGCATGCATGCATGGGATGGGATGCATATGGAGGGCTGTATGCACATTGCATTTTGGAGGTTCAGGTGCATGCACACACTTTGGGCACTTGGTCCGGAAAAGGTTAGCCATTACTGTACTATAGCCACAGAATATATGTAAAATTCATTCACTGAACTACGTAACCAATTACTTGATTCATACAATAATCTGGCAATAAATGTTTTTGCATCCATCCTACATCAGGAGACTTAGCTAGTATGAAAAATGAGCATTGCCCAACAGAGAACACTATCTTGAAACTTCACTTCACAGCCTTTTTTTTTTTTCAGATGATGTCCTCAGTAGTAGGGAAAATACATTAAGGGAGTTACTTCAGTGGCCTTCCAGTTCCCATGCCCATATATATATGGAAGACAATTGTGTTGGCATTGGCATAACAGCAAATGAATTGAAATGATTCATTGAATGACTGCATGCCCTTAAATCTGATGTTCGCTAATTGTATCTCATTAGAACTGAACTCAAGCACACTGTTTAAAAATAAAAAAATGTTTTATCCTGGTATCAAGTTTAAAGAGAAATACTGATTTTGAATAACAATTCAATAATCACTAACCACTGGTTAACTAAAGATTGCTATACCATTTGGAATCTTCAACCTGTTGACAATACAAAACATACCATTTTCTTGTATTCTTTGTTCAAGTTCTTGGGTATGGCCAACGTAGTTATTTTTATTTCCCTCAGCCTCACTACAAAAAAACAGTAATGTAATCCTGTCTATTCCAATATATGTTTGCACCATTCATGCATGCAGTAATTTTTTAAAAAGGAACACTGCCATTTCCACAGCTGCAAAACAGTTGTTCATCTTAGTTATGATTACCAAAATGACTTGCATCTTGAACAATTATTCTCTATACAGATAATCCTCACCTTACAACCATTTAGTGATCAGTTACAATGGCAAACAATTATTACTGTTTTTTACACTTATGACTGTTGAAGCACGTAACCAAAATTCAGATGCTTGGCAATGGGCATATACTTTGATATTTGTCCCAAGGTCATGTGATCACCTTATGTGACCTGACGAGCAAAATCAGTGGGGAAACTAGATTCACTTAACAATTCTAGTACTAAATTAAGAACTGCAGTGATTCATTTAAGAACTGTGACAATAAAGGTTGTAAAGTGAGGGCACTTAACAAATTGAAATTTTGGGCACAACTGGCTATGGGTCTCTAATGCCATTTTTAATAGATTACAAATAGGATATTTTTATTCATTTAACTGGACCATTCTTAAAATGTATACAGAGAATGTCTAGAAATACTTGTAGAAATAACTACAATTTCTTGTAGAGAGAGAATATGATGGATAATCTCTGTTTTTCAGAGGCTGACTGTAATCAGCGTTTTGTGGTAATTCAGACAACAAATAAAATTCATGAATAGTAAGCCTACCTTCTTTATAAGGTTGGAATAATGGAATCCTGGAAGTCTGAAAATATTTCTCTCTATTGCCTTTATTTTCAGAGAACTAGGTAGGTTTCTATATCCATTTTTTCTGTGAGCTCAGATCTTTTGTCTAATTATAGTCTAGCCTGAGGGAGCTCCTTATCCTAGTTCCCAAGGTTATTTTCACAGCCCCTTACAACTGTACTATTAGTAGTGGTGTTGTAATTTCCTTCTACATAATAATAGAAAAAAAGCAGCAAAAAGTGACAACCTTCAAGTAATCTTTGCAATAGGTGGGAGGTAATCATATGACTGATCCCCATTTCACCAAGTCATGTGCTACCATGTATACCTACTGATATAAAGAGTATTTCTATTTGGATAATTACACTGGGTCAATCACACTGTTTGAACATAGACACTATGTCACATGAAAGAACCCCATATTGTATAAGGAATAGGAAATGAGCCAATAGCGAAAAAGGTGAATAAGTTGTGATTAAATATCTAAAAGGGCATCACTTGCTCACTTGCATCTTCTGGATCCGACATAGCATTTCTGTTCTTGATTTAATCTTGCTCTTGACCTCTGAGCTTGGCACAGTACCAGAATTATTTATGACAAGAATGAGTGACTTTATCTTCTGAACCTTAGCTATGTTCTGATTAAAGTATAACGAGCATTTAAAAAGACATCTTGACATATTAACTATATTACCTACTGTAAAATAATAGCTTTCACCTGATACACTTTTCATTTGCTGAATACAATATATATGAAATAGTTGAATGGGTGGGTAGTTTCAGAATGTTAACAGATCTGTTTGCAGTAATAGATAAAGAGTTATGATTAAGCTTCTGTGTGATTTTAGAATAAAAAGTGTACATTGAAAAGTATTAATTACATTTAAGGACAGGAATGATTACTATTGTTAAAAATCCAGTACTGAAATGAAATTAGGAACTAAGCTGAAAGAACAATGTTATTAGTAATTATTAGTAAACTGTTATTTGTTGATAAAAATGTCCTCTGCTAAATATTGGGGAAAAAATAAAGAAATGTATTCTACTGCAGTACAGAAGTTAATTTGATAGTGCCATGAAATAATAATATACAGTGATTTGAACAGATATATTAGGAAAGCATGAAAGTATTTTTCATTTAAAACACTATCTACATGGTATTCTGTTGCAACAAAAAATAGGAGTTTTGTTTTTTTCGGTTCTGCTTTGTCTCCTTAAAATAATAATAATCTTACTGGCAAAAATTGGAACATCTAAAATTCCTTCATTTTCAAAGATCTAGCAAACTTGAAATGTCAAACCAAGTTCAGTGCAGGTAGTAGAATAATGCTGACTTTTTAAATAATGCCCTTGGAAATACTAAAACGTTTCTGCTTCATAAATAACAATCATCTCTCTAAACTTGGTCTTTGAATCCTTCCTTAAAGAGTGCCATATTAATCATGTGTGAGTTCAACACATTCCACTCTGGAATTTTTGTGGCTAATGTGCTAACTTGGAGGGTTTAGACAACTCAGAAAAAATGGTGAGTGCTGAAAAACATTCTCTTTTCATGATGCATTTCCTTTCCTGCAGGCCAGGCAAGAAAGCTTTGATTTAATTTTACTGACATACTTATAAATGTAGCTTCAGGTTAAAACTTAAATTTGTCTGCAGATTTATGAGCCAGGCAGACATTCTGTCACAGGGCTTCTTCCTTTTGCTTTGGCATTATCCATTTAACTGAGCCTGCCAGAGTTTTCCTGAAAGACAGCCAACTTTTCAAATAATTTCATATTTCTACTTTGCTTTGTAGCTCAATCAACCTCATTACACCAGAAAGCAGCCAATTCTGTGCAGAGTTATCAGGGAATCATTCATTCATTCATTCATGCATGCATGCATGCATTCAAATTTATTTGTCACCCAATTCTGTATATAGTAAACTCCATGAAACACAGTGGGTCTTAACTTTGAGAAAAAAAAGTACAATAGGAATGCATTGCCCATCTCTTTTCCTTCCTAAATTCAATTGTCCTCAAAAATAGAATCAAGTTTGTAGATAACATGCAAGCTTTTAATTATTATGATTAGGCTCATTTCAATATAATGTATTAAGCTGAACTGACATTCAGGATAAGCACACAGAAAATTTAAAACCAATATCTTGAAGAAAATCCAGCTTGAACTGAGATCCAGGACTATTTTCTATGAAAAGCAGGCAGATGAAAGGGAATCTTACAACATGAAGTTATTTCTGATAGCATCAGTAACTAAGGCGGTACTAACATCAACCTCCTTAGCTTGAGAGAAAACTACATATATTTATATATTGTTTTTTTGGGATGGTTTCCTGCAGTCTCAGAAATTCAGATTAGAACTGGAGTGCAAACAGAATTCCCAGTTTTTCAAACATGAGTTTTATTGGGTTATTAAAATATACCCTATCCTAGTATGCTCACAATGATAAGATGGGGTTCAAATTTCAAGTATTTGATAAATGCATACCCAGAAGACACCAAAACATTGTAATACATACATACATAAACATAATCCCACACACATATATGTACTTTTGTGTGTGTTTGTGTGTGTGTGTGTATGTATGTATGTGTGTGTGTATGTATGTATGTATGTATACATATATATATATAGATAGATTAGATAGATAGATAGATAGATAGATAGATAGATAGATATAGATATAGATATAGATATAGATATAGATATAGATATAGATAGATATAGATATAGATATAGATATAGATATAGATATATCACATGTAAATAAAACATAATTATGCACATTCATCTATGACATTTAGAAATACCTATTGATTATAGTAACAGATTGGAATTAGCATCCTTATCCATCCTGCTATTCTTCCAAAATATACATAGTGTAGTATGAGATGGATGATTTATGTTCTGCACCCAGTATGAATTCCGTTCTCTAGAAAATGATGCTGAAAGTACAACATAGCCGTCCAATATGGGTGCAATGTGATATGTGATGTGACAAAACATAGTTTGTGCTCTAGCTTCTTTTGTAACTGAAATATCTTGCAATAAGAATGATTAAGAAGAAAACAGCATAAAGACATTGAAAGTGGAACTGATATGAACCTTCTGAGATCTACATAGTAATTTGTATCTCTTTTCCTTCCTAAATTCAAATGTATTTCCTAGTTAACATATATAAATGCAAAATTATATTTTCTATAACTAAAGAATTACCTTCAATACATAATGCCATATACAAATAGTATTTATAAATCCACACTTCAATCCTACCTTCAATTTGTTATTAACATGTTTTCAAAATAAAATAGATGAAACATAAGGCAGTATGACTTGCATTGTTATTAAAATGCTGTTATGCTTCTCACTTTCCAGTTTCTAAATTGAAAAGTAAAGGATATACAGAATTTGGAAGCTAACATTGTGAAATATACAATGCAATTGGGGATAACAATGCATATTGAATGCATGCACATTTTGCACTATAAATATGGATTTATAGCACTTAATTCTTACTAATGCTAGACATAAGAAGTACAAATCAATTGTTTCACAAATTATTCGCATATCTTTCAAATATTATAAGCTAAATCCTTATGTGTGGTGCTTCCCGAGACACTTGCAGATACTAGTGCAAAATTTTATTTCAAAAAGCAATGTTTCTACATCACTAGTACCATAGTTGGTGCAATTAGGTCTTACGTAAAGTTCAGATTTTAGAACAGAAACAAGATTTAAGGAAAGATTTACCCTTAAAAAAAATGTTTTAAGGCTTAAAATTTAGACTTCGTGTATACCTAATCATCTGTATCATTTGCAGAAAGTCATTGTATTAAAATGTTATCAGAAAGCTCCATTATTATTCAGTATGATAACAGCATGTAAAACAGCTCTTGTTTTTTCCCCTCTGTCTTTGCTTGTATTACTATATTATTGTAGATCATAGTTTATATTCGTTCAGTAGTTATTTATGTTCTGATACTCCCAGTGAAGCGGTTGACGTGATGTGCCAGTGCCTGGAGGCTGTCAGGATCTGGATGGGGGTCAACAAGCTTGCACTCAATCCAGACAAGACTGAGTGGCTGTTGTGTTTCCCTCCCAAAAATTTGGTTAGCATTCCATCACTCAGGCTGGGGGGTGAAATTTTATGCCCCTCAGACAGGGTTCGCAA